GGTTATTTTTACATTTAGTAGCAGTTCTTGAGTGACATTTGAACAAAAGTGTTATGCACTGACATATTTGTGAAAACTTATTCTCCAGCATGTTTGAGTTGCTATTAGAATGAAGCACATTTCTTTTAAGGTGATGGGTCTACTGTTCACAATATGTAACCACTAGCAATTAACAGAGAAATGTTTAACCTCTTGTGTTTGTATCACTAGTAGCTGAACACATAACGTGTTGAGTCAAAATTGAAGTGGTTAGCAGAAGATGTTTTATAAAGCACATAGAACTTCATAGCACAGCAAAGCTGTCTTTGCATTTGTTTAAGGTACTTATATGCATAGTTAGCATCACTGTTAATATACGTTGAGGATTCAAATGCACAAAGAAACAGGTATGTGAGTAATTGGGTTGCCACATTTTCTCATAACAGAATAGTAGTGTATGTGTGACAAAGCGGGGATTGGATTCTCAGTTTGCTTTCTTATGTTGCATTTGATTTCTACTGCCCTGTAGTAACCCTGTGTGTTTGCCTCAGTTTCCCTGGATACTGAATTACTATTTAGATGTGGATGGGGATTTCAGGTATGGTTCACTGAGGGAGTATGCTTAGCCCATCAGGTACACAGGTACCTGAGCCTGAGAAGGGGGTGTGACCAAGTGACACCTTTTGCCTGGGAAGCTGGACAAAAGGGGAGGTGGAACTGGTGAAACTGGAGGTATGCTGCTGGGTGCGTAAGGGAGTCTAGCTGGCTTGGGGGACAGAAAGAGGGGCCAGGGCCAGGACTCTGGACCCCCTTCTCCCCAAGATGGGTTGAATTGGCTGCTCCTGGATCCTGTGCTAACAAGTATGTTCTATGCTGTGTCCCTGTGAACTAATAAAATTTCTGTTCTACCTGCTGGCTGAGAGTCACATCTGGCTGCAGATGGGGGTGCAGTGCCCGGTGGCTCCCCACTCCTCAGCGACACTGCATAGTTAGCATCATTGTCATGCACATTGAGCATTAAAATGCACAAAGAAACAGATGTGAATAACTGGGTTGCCACATTTTCACATAACAGAATAGTGCACATAGTTACATTCACAAATTCTCTCTCTATAGCTATAAAAAAGTTTTTCCTGCTGGGAGACAGAATGACATCATCGAGCGCTCATACACTCTGGCTGCAAAAGCTGCCAGAGAGAGGGGGACTGGCTAGTGCCTGGTGTGTGTGCCTGGTTATTTGGCCAGTTCATTAGATCAGCTACCTCAAATGAAGTGATTTTCTCAAAATTCCTCATCAGAGAGACAGCCTCATTTTGGCTTCAGCAAATGAAAGGCAGGGGATGAAAACAGTGATAAAAATATATGTAATAAAGAAATGTGAGCAAGCTCTAGTGAGGCGGTCTAATCCAGATACAATTCTTTGAAATATGGTTGAGTAACAAAGGACGTTCAGCACATGACCTGGATTAAAAAATGAAAGAAGCAAGATATCAAAATAGTATTACTTTCCAAAGCATTGCAACAAATTAGGTTCCGTAATATTTGATGTATCTGCAACTAAAAAGACAAAAGGAAGCACCTGGGAATGATAAAGTTGAGAAACTGAGAAAGAAGTTGTATGGGTTTCTTTTTTATTAAGAAATTCCATAAAGATGTGGTTATAAAAAAAGAAGTAGAAGAGATGAAGATATCACGAAGGCAGCCAAGAGAATAAAAGACAGATGAAGGGGAAAAAAAGATTCTGTTTGGACTTCAATTCCCTTTGCCACTCCTTTATTTTCTGACTTTTATTACACATTCTTTATCTTGCCCACTAGTCACATTCAAATAACCACTTTTCTTTATCTTGCTGATTTCTTCCATTAGATGATGAATTATACTGATCCATTTTCAATTAAATATTCTTGTCCTTCATCTTTGCTTGGGTCAATGACTTTCAAATCTTCTCATCCTTTAAAAAAAGGTCTATTTTCTCACTAAGCAAATATTTAATTGTAGATTTTAAGAGAGATTTACATCTGTTTCCATTTTCTTTGTGTTCAGAATGATAGAAGCGAGAAGATTGTACATTTTCAAAGAAATTTCTCTTAGTGGCACATTTACAATAATGTTAGGGGATGGTCATTGCTACAAAAAAATCCAGTAAGGTTTTTCTTCAGGCTTTTTTTAAATTATGGCAGAATTCTTCATCTTATGATGAACATCTTGAACTTCTGAACTGCATCAGTGGTTTATACAAATGTACTGTTAGATCTTGCTTTGCTTAGATGAGCAAACATTTCCTGTAAATATAGCCATTATACTCACATTATAATTACATTTTCTTTGCTAGATTATAACACTGAAATATAATCATAGATGCAAAACCACAGCATGGATTTCCATTTGCCAGCCTCATTACAGGTATATATATTATTACAGTCCCATTGACAATTCCACTATTGTTTTTGTTCTGTTGAAGTTGTCATTTGACTTTAAAATTACTTGGGACTATATTGTTATATCATTGCTCACATTAAGTAGTACTTTTAATATCTCCATACATTTCAATGGGGACTACTCAGAGAATAAGGTGCTATTTAAGAAGAGTAAGAATCTAGCCTTTAGTATTACATTCTCTTGTCATGCACGAGAATTATTCCATAACTTCTGGGTATCATCCCTGTAAGAAAATGCTTATTGGCATAAGTAAAATGTTCTAGTGCATGCTATAAAAAAAAGCCAGCAAGTATGGTGTATTTTTTTTCCAGAAGGTGACTTCCCTTTCTGTTGGCCTACCATGCCCCAAGGATTTGCAAATCAATTTTGAGCACAAATCAGAGTGGGTCTCTACTTGGAATCAGGTATAATTCAGGCAAATAGAGATACAAATACTTGCTAGATGAAAATATTCCCCAGATGAAAAGTGCAAGCTGCCACAATAAAGTGATTCTTTTTACAGGTGCAATTGACACCTATGTCTTATGTTCCTGAAAAATACTGAAGGTACAAACACTGATTCTTAGACATCTAACTACTGCCTCTGGGCACAAAATCAGGAAGCAAATAATCCATGTGCATTACTTAAACCCACAGGTCATTTGCAGGTTGAAATAATAGCAGTCCAAATATTACAGCTACAAATTGCACCTATAAATGAGAGGCACTGCTGAATTGTAGACTTTAATTAGTTAAACTTCATTCTATTTTATAGATATTTCCATCATAAATCAGCCATCTACTTTATTTAGGATAGCATTACTAAAGATTGGGTAATAAAAAGAAAGACGACAAAATTGGAAGCAATTATCAAAATCTGTTTTCCGTTATATCTGTATACATCTGGAGTAACTCCACTATCTTTACTGCAGTAATTGAGGACAAGATTTGCCATATGGTTCTAAATAAGTTTTCTCTTCCTAACATATTACAAATCATAATAAAAAGAGATCTTAATTAGAAAGATTTTCTGGTGCTAAGAAATCTGTTTGATTCATTCATTCTGGAATCAGTCTACTCAAGGAAGTGTAACATCCAGCTGATCCTGCTAACGCTTGAGAAGCAAGAGTTCCTTTTATTTTTTTCATAGATGGCTTAAAATGAGAAACAAATATGCAAACATAATTTGTTTGTTTAGTTTTCAATACTATATGTATATCAGAAGCAAGAAACCTGGGACAAAGTCAGTTGATCCATTGGAGTAAAGGGAGCAGTTAAGGAAGATAAGGATATTGCAGACATGCTAAACTACCTCTTTGCAACTATCTTCACCAAAGACAATATGGGGATGCTACCTACCCCAGACTGACAGTGTCAGTTGATTCACTGGAGTAAAGGGAGCAGTTAAGGAAGATAAGGATATTGCAGACATGCTAAACTACCTCTTTGCAACTGTCTTCACCAAAGACAATGTGGGGACGCTACCTACCCCAGACTGACGGTACCCTTTTCAGATAATAAAGATGAAATGTTATCAGAGATCAAGACGATTCATAGATTCCAAGGCCAGAAGAGAATGTTATTCATCTGCACTGGCCTTCTGTGTTACACAAGCCTAGAACATCTCAAAAAAAATCCCTACAACATATCTTTTAGAAAAACATCCAATCTTGATTTTAAAATACTCAGTGATGGAGAATCCACCACTACCCTTGGTAAATTGTTCTAATGGTTAATTATCTCACCTTTAAAAATTTACGCCTTATTTCCAGTCTGAATTTGTCTAGCTTCATCTTCCAGCCATTAGATCGTGTTATACCTTTCTCTGAAAGAGAAGGTGCTGGAACAATATTATAAATTAGACAAAGACCATAGGGAGAGTAATATATTTTACTGACATAGTTTCCATGCAAAAGTACATAACACGCTGTCACCACCTAAATAACCTGAGGTCATAATTAATCTTATGGGCCAAATTTGTGGTTCTTTTCCAGCTTTCGTGAATCAGTGTAGTTCCACAATGGAGCTGTACTGAGTTACACTCATTGAGGATCTGGCTCTATGCTTCTAACGGTTATTTAGAGGACTTGAATGTGTACACTATGAATGGTTTTATGTGCACAGCTAAAGGAATCTTGTGGAAGTGAAGATTCTTAGATACATATGAAGAAGCTTCAATGGAAGGTATGTGAATTGAGTTTACTCTGGATGTTACTAGAGCTTTAACCAAACACCCCAACCTCTTTGATTGTATTGTAGGAAATGCCTTCAAGCAATCTTACCTCTAAATTAAATAATTTTTCCATGTGAGGATAAAACCAGATTTATGAATCCATGCCTTTGTTGAACAGCAGTTGAAGACACTACAGATTTTTAATATTTTACAAAAATATAAATTGTATAAACTGCATTTGAAAGACCAACTGCACGGAGAATCCTTTTCCTCAAAGAGACTCGGTCCTGAATGTACAGTCCTTACATGGTCCACAATCCTAGATTGCAGGATTTGGCCTTCCATTTGCCTGCCTCCCTCCCACAATCTTGGCAAATTAGGATTACAAATAGTAATATTTAGCAAACTACACAATTAAATAAGTACCTACCTGGGAGAACTGGTAACACTCCAGACTGTAAAACTGCTGTTCCCTAAACAAAACAGAAAGAGATAGAATGAAATCTCTCTTTGCATATAACAAAGGTTTCACAAAAATACAATCAACATTGTGAAGGAGTCTTTAGCTATGCAAAAGTATTTAAAAACCAGAAGAGCCCCAACAAAGACACCCTGGGAAAAAAATTGTAAGAAATATCTATGAAATGTCTATAATATGCCTTAAAGGGTCACTAACTTTAGCTTGACTGTTTTGAAACATATCTTAACAGATAAAAAAACTCAGCACTGATTATTAATCAAGTGGGAAAAAGTAGCTAACCTTTGTGATTTAAGATTACATGAGATCAAAATTAGAATACTTTTAATATAAGGTTGTTTGTTTGCTTGAATCTCTCCATATGCAACATAATAGATCACATTCACCTAGCCACACACAAAGCTTGACTTCCCATCAAATCTGAAATAATTTTTCTCAATTGGTAGAAAATAAAAGAAAATTGTCCACATTCATTATTAGCTACATTAAAATTCAAGTCATGCTGAATTCCTGTTGGAAATATGCACAAAGAAAATGTGTTATTTTAAAATCTAAAGAACACGATGTGATATGCCACAGGGTGACAGTATAGTGAGGTACCAAACACGGATGACTGGGGGAAACTATGTGGGATGATTCATTATCTGTGAGAAAAATCTAAGCACTGTAGCAGATGTACAGATCAAATTTTTACTAGTAATTAATCTGTTAGGTTATCTTCAAAAGACTGTTAACATTTTTATCCTAGCATCCCTATATCCTTTCCAATGCCTATCATGACGGGGAAAAGCCAGATGGCTACCATAAAGTAACAGAAATCAGGTGCATTAACTGTAGACGAAACAAATCCCTGTTGCCATGGCAACCAAATGACAGATAATTAAGACACATGGGATCAATTAAGAACCTCCTAGAACTCAGTTGAGGCATTTAAGTTAATTAAGACACCTTGAGGCTATCTAGAACCTGCTAGAACCAGGTGAGAAAGTTAGGTTTGATGGAGACAGCTGGAGGCAATTAAGGACCAGCTGGAACTGATTAAAAGCCTCCCCTTTAGTCAGTTTAGTGGGATTCCAAGAGCAGTGGGAGGAGAATATGCTGCTGGAGAGCAGGAACTATAGAGATGCTATCTGGTACCAGGCATGAATCCTGTACCTACAGAGGCAATGGGCAGAGAGAACACTGTTCAGGGAACAGTCCCTTTGGGCCCCAGTAGTCTGAGAGTGACAAACCACTTTTAGAGGGGAAGTGACTGAGTTAAGGAATCTAATCTGTTATCTCTCTGCCTGGAGAAGCCACCAGAAACTAAGAGGTTTTTTTCCCTTCCTCTATTCCCTGCTATGCCAAAGTGAGAGTGGCTAAATCAGATTATAGCTTGCCCCTGAAGTAAATGGGTTAGACTGAGAACTGTAGTGAGCCACTGAGGGGAGCAATTAGACAGGAAGTTGTTTTCCCCAGACAGGGAGAGAGGATACTTAACCTACTGCTACCCAGAAGCACAGGACCCATTGTGTGAACTTAGGAGGTTCATCACACTATAGAATTTGCTTATGCTTTTTTATTTGATAACCCACTATTTCAAGGACAAATTCATGCAATAAAAATCTTTCAGTGTATTTATTTCTTTCAAGTTCTTATTCTCAGCTGTCTACCTCTGTTCGGAAGTTATATGTATGTAATTCAGTAAATAATAAAGAAATACAGCATTAGGGGGCCTGATCCAACTTCCATTAAAATAAATTGCAAGACTCCCATTTATTTGGATGGGGACTGGACCCTAACTATATGAAGAGAAAATATTAGTTCAGTTTCAGGTAATGAACTGTACATTAAGAAAGGATTCTGCTCAAGTTCTTTGAATGTTAAGCAATGACAATTTAGATTTGCAGTGCAAAACCATCTATAACAGTAGGAAAAACAGGAGACCGTTTCAAGCCTTGACTGAAACTCCACTACATCAATGAAATCTAAAACCTCCGCCTTTACTTGGGTAATCACGCTCACTATGTTTTTTAACATTTGGGAGATTATGAGCAATTATTTACACTAGAAAGGAAAGGAAACGTTTTATGAAAAGAAACAGAGCCAACATTTCATTTATGGAGTGATAGATAAATCCAGCAGCATTTCAGAGATAGAAAAGAGCATTTGCTCAAATTAAACACAAGCATTGCTGTTCTTTTCTATGGTTACTTTGTGCCAACCTACAAATACAGGCATTTCAGTGGCGAGTAAAATATTTCTTATGAATATAAAGTTTAAAAAGTGTTTTCAGATCCTTTGGGAGGAGAGTTGCTATTATAAGGGGAGTTAGTATATTTTGGTTGCCTAATTTTTTCATTACAATAGACTCTTGGAACCATTTCTGAGAAACTATAATATCTTCTGTTAGTAGCAGGTTTTGAAATTCTGTGGCTAGGGAGTTGCCTTTTCTTTGTCCCATAATGGCTAAAGTGCTAGGTTATAATATGCTCACAAATCACAACTCTTACTTGTGTTCCCCAGGAAAATTTTGGTAGACTGGACATGAATAGTCTAAAGCCAGAACCATGCTGCTACACAAACACTAGCTGGCAGCTAATATCGTTACTCCAGTACCCCCAAATGATAAATTACAATACTGGAGGTTTAGGGTTCACACCCTGCTAATAATAATGGGTTGTAGATATTAGAATTTGCTTTTATCTTTTTATTTAAAAAAACCCTAGAATTTACTTACACAAAACCTATATTCAAAGAACATTAGTTAACTTGCAAAGTCAAGCACTCATTAGTGAGAAAAAGCTAGATTTAAGGTTGCCAGTGCAACTTTAATTTTTCCCCATGATGCATTTGACTTATGATATCAAGAAGGCTTAGCTGTTTAATGTTTAATGTTAATTTTGCTTCAGTCTTCACTAAAAAGTTTAATCATGACCAGATATTTAACACAGTTAATATTAAAGGAGAATGAAAAACAAGCCAGAATAGAGAGACTATTTAGGTATGTTAGATGTATTCAAGTTGGTGGAGCCAGCAATCTTCAAACTGTCTGGCTATGTCTACCCAGACATTATTTCAGAATAACCGATATTATTCCAAAACAACATAGTTCGCGTCCACACACCAAGCAGTTATTTCGACATAATGTTGACATAATTGGGGTCTGGAGAACTTCTTACTCCAACTCCTGTAGCCTTCATTGTACGAGGAGTAAGGGAAGTAGGAGAGAAAGTGCTCTCTCGGACTTCCTGTGTAGACAGTGCCAAAGGCCAAAATAAGCTATTTCAACAAGCTATGCAATTAACGTCGCTCAAGTTGCATAGCTTATTTCAGCTTTAGCCCTGCTGGATGGACATGCCCTCTGTGATTATGTTTGAGAACTCATGGGAGTATCAGAAGACTGGAGAAGGGCAAACAGCACATGTCATTAAAAAGGGGAAGAAAGAGGACTTGGAGAATTATAGATGAGTCAGCCTAACTTTTCAATTTCTAGAAAAATACTTGAACAAATTATGAACCAATTAATTGACAAGCACCAGGCCCACCAACAGAAATTCTGGGCCACAAGACAGAACAGTCATTGGAACTCCCAGGCACAAACAAGACATGCCCGTATAGATGTGGTCTCCCTAACATTTGGGCAATGCTGCACCTATGGTGGCGGGTGCCCAGCAAACTGACAGCTGTGCTCTGGAAAATCCTTTTCCGGCATGGCCAAGGAATCGACACAGTAGAGTCGCCAACTGTCTAATCACACAAACTCAAAGCCCTGGCCTTCTGCCTTGCCCCTTTCATGAGACCATGTGCCTGTCTCGCTGCTTCTCCATGATGTGGAAGGTCGTGAGTTTGGGTTGCAGGAGATTATCATTGTCCTGGTTTAAGAGGTCCAGTTGTGGCCATGGGGAGAGCACTGTCAGAGCCAACAGGGTCAAGAAACAATGTTGCTTGGGCCAATCAGGGCCAATCACGATGACTCGGGCCCTGTGCCTTTTGAATTTCTTTAGTTCCTTGTTCATGAGCAGAAATGGGGGAAACACATACAGCAGATCTCCCATCCAAAACAAGGAGGCAGCATCAGATGGGGAACCTCACCCAGGCTCTGTCAGGAGCAGAACATCTCCTATTCTACCTAGTTGGAGAGATCCACTCAAAGCACTTCTACACAGCAGGGCTGAAGTCAAATAAAGCTACGCAACTTGAGCTATGTCAATTGTGTAGCTTAAATCGAAATAGTTTATTTTGGCTTTTGGCACTGTCTGAGAAAGAACACTCTTCCTCCAACTTCCCTTACTCCTCATAAAATGAGGGTTACAGGAGACAAAGAAAGAAGTCCTTCAGCTTGACATTATGTCAAAATAACTGCTTGTAATATAGACAGGGACTATGTTATTTCAGAATAATGTCAGTTATTCCGAAATAATACTGCTGTGTAGACATACCCTCAAGGAGTGTCCCACTCCCAGAAGATCTCTAGGACCACCTCCACAGATAGCATACACTCATGGTGAGACGAGAATTTGCCAAGATTTCTGGATGCTCAGAAGATTCTAAGTCGATATCAAGGCTGATGCAAAAGTCCCACAGCTTGTGGGCCTCCTGGCAGAGGGCAGAAGAATGGGTCCCCCCTTGCTTGTTGATGTGAAACACTGATGCCATGTTGTCTGTTTCCTGACCATTCTATCTGCCAGCCAGGGGCAAAACACCCTGCCTGCGAGATGAACTGCTCTGAGCTCTTGGATGTTTATATGCAGTACTGCCTCATCCAGAGACCACAGATCTGGGTCTTTATAATCCTTAGATGAGTCCCCCAATGAAGATCCAACATGAGCTCAATGATAGAAGGATCACCACACTTGAATGGTGGTGTTTGAAAGGTGTTTGTAGGGTCAGCCCTCCACTGAAGGGAGGTAAGTACTGACCCAGGAATGGTGAGAACTTTGTCCAAATTACCTCTGGAATGGAAGACAACTGAGGCCAATCTGCAGAGATTACATATGGAGACAGTGTAGGATG